CTCTCTCTCTCTCTCTCTCTCTCTCTCTCTCTCTCTATGCAGGCTGGAAGTCTTCACTTGTCGCCAGTATCTGTTGAAATCACTTATGGTCTTGAGCGTATCCTCATGTTGCTTCAGGTTAATTTTTATTGCTCATTTTCTTCTTCTTTCTTTTCTTATGTTCGCTTATGTTTTCCTGACTAATTTGCAGGGAGTTGATCATTTTAAGAAAATTCAATACGCTGATGGAATTACATATGGGGAGCTTTTCTTGGAGAACGAGTAACTACTTAAACTACCGATTACTTTTCTCTGTTGTTGAAATATACACATTCTTTTTCAGTGGAAGGGTGTCTGTATAACAAGAGTTAATCAAAAGAATATTATGTATACTTCTTCGAAATTTTAACAGCCATATCCCTTATTTTCCCATCCCATTCTCCTTCTCTTGGTCTCTGTCATTTCAGTGTTCTCAAGATTGGACTTGTTTTATACTTTCTAGTAATGTAGAGTATAAAATATTACACCTTATATTTCTTTTCAGGAAGGAAATGAGTGCATATTATCTAGAGAATGCTGGGGTGCACCATGTTCAGAAGCATTTTGATCTTTTTGAGGAGGAAGCTCGCTCGTTGCTTTCTTCAGGCCTAGCAATACCTGCGTATGACATGCTTGTTATTTCTTATGCTTGTTAGTTGTAGCTGTTGGTTTTTTGTTCATATTTCTTTAAAATTTCCCCTTTTACTTGCTAGGTATGATCAGCTTCTGAAAACATCTCATGCTTTTAATATCTTAGACTCTAGAGGCTTTGTTGGGGTAACAGAGCGTGCTCGGTACTTTGGGCGGATGCGTAGGTAAGGTTGCTTATTCCTTGGCACGCCACTTCTCTAGGATTTATGCTCTGCACTTTAATGTCTATGCTTATTACTTTCTTTTTAAAAAATATTCTCTTATCAGTTTAGCTCGTCAGTGTGCACAACTTTGGTTAAAGACCAGGGAATCTCTTGGATATCCACTAGGCGTGGTTTCTGAAACTGTTAATCTTGTATGTCCTGAAGAGCTTGTGGAGGCAGCAGTTAAAAAGGTCAGCTTTTGTAAAGCCATTAAGGCTCATCCTGTGTTTTCTTTCACATGTTTTTATAAGAATACATATATGGGCTTATCTGGTAATGCACACGCACACGTTTATGTTTTTAACTCTCTATACGTTTGTACATGTGCGAACCACGTGCATATAAATAGAGAGGAATAGTTTTTGTTACAGTGGGAAGGCGTGGAGATTTTATTGGACAAACTCAGATTTTGGTTTTCACTTGGGGTTTTATTGTTTTTTTGAATTTCTTGGATATTATGTTTTACATCTATTGTGGAAGAATGGAAAGCATCAGTTTCTTAAGAGTCTAATTAGGGCTTTGGATTTTAGAGGTTGATAGAAAGTGCTTGGCTTCTAATGCTGTTTAGTCTTCATCCATGTAATGCTGTGGTTTCCAGAATGGTTGTGCTTTAATATATTTTTTTTTATTAAAATTTTTATA